GCATGGTAGAGTCGACTAAAGTTACATAGGGGTGAAAGGGTTAAGATACTTCAGTTCTTTCAGTAGAACCTTGATACTAAATGATAGCTATATATATAGTATGTTTTTGGCTATCCAAAATGAGATTAGACTCTTGGGTTTTAAAGCACGTGTCTATTTCATATAATGGTTAGTGTTTCAACTCTTAAAAATCCAGGAAATTCTATTTGACCTATAAATGTCAAGGGTCAACTGAAATCATACGAACATTTATGAGAAAAGACTTACAGGCAGGCTTGAACAAAAATCTCATGTAACAGCTGTAGGGAAATATTCAATTTTTCACTTGCAATTGCCCTCACGTAAAATTTACTCGTCCCTGGCATTGATCGCGTAGGATTTTACTCTGTTGGTATGCACATGATTTTGTGTTTAACGTTTGGTGACGTATTGACTGATATTTTGTATGTTTATAGTCATTAACATATTTGATATATAAATCTGATGACACGTGAGTTCTTGCCTGGAAATCATAAATTTTAATTGCCATTATTGTACAATGGGCCTATAGACAAATGTTCGTCAATAACAAACAATAGCTCAACTTATATTTTCATAGTAAATCCTGAAAATGTTACTAGTCCTTACATAATATCTATTTCTCCTGTAGGTTGAGCTAGTGGAATGGAGTATGTACCCCCTTGCTAAAAGTGAACAATATTAGTGTCCTTTGTCCTGTATAGTTTATAAAACAATATTATTTTTTTATCTTTTACAGAAACAAGATGAAGTGAAAATTGACTGAAACACATTCCCAATACAGATGATTATCTTTTCATGATGGCATGGGTGGTAGTTGGCGATTGTGAGGAAACATGATTGACCACTGTCGGCAAAGGTCATCTGATCATAGCCTTAGCTCCTTTCTGTGCTTTGACAGGGACTCTCCTCCCTGCTCAACATCATCATCCAGCATCATCAGCCATGAGTTCGTCCAAGCTGACTGATTTACTTTGTAAGGGCCAACATGATATTGATCCAAACAAGAATCACAAAGCTTTGACAGAAAATACAGACAACAGCAGTCGGAAGGGGTTAGCATCGTTTATGGTATCCGTTACGGTGATGCGAAGACGTAGGACCTCTCCGCAAGTTCTACTTAAAGCTAGCATTACAACAGTTCTGGTGGTGACTGTAGGGTTCATTATATTGTATACCATTTTACTGAAGTATTTCTCCAACACTGTGCCTTATGTGCCTGAGGAGTGGGAACGGGTACGAAGTCAGTACCACGCCCATCACAGGCCAAAGCTCATACCCAGGCCCATGGACCTAGACCCAAACAACTATGTGACTTCAAAAATACAAAATAAACCTCCAAAATGGAATATATCAAATTATGATTTTAATAATAATTTAGGAAATACCAAGTTATGTAGACAAAAATATCAGTTTCTAGTTCTCATAGTGTCGACCAGAACAGAGTTTGATCGTAGAATTGCTATCAGGAATTCGTGGTGCCAGCCTCAGAGGCACAACCTGCCTCCTGATGCCTGGGGATGTGTCTTTCTCTTAGGGGTTGGTTCACAGCAGGAATCCAATAGTGATATAGTGGATCGACAAATAGATCTGGAAATAAAAACTTACAATGATGTACTCAAAGGCAGCTATATAGACTCCTACAGGAATCTCACCTATAAGGTTTTACATGGACTTCACTGGGCCAGCCAGTCATGTCCAACAGAATTTGTGCTGAAAACAGATGATGATTGTTTTGTCAATACTCACCTGTTACATATACTCATATTGCACCATAGAGATGCGAACGACTTGTACATAGGTAGTGTGTCCAATAAACCGCACGAGGTGCTGCGGGACCCTAACAGTGTGTGGTACGTGCCCGAGGAGTGGTACGGGGAGGAGTTCTACCCTAGGTATGCCAGCGGGGCCGGCTATCTTCTGTCCTCGGACGTCGTGACAAGACTTATAGACGTGAGCAGGTATAGAACACCCATTCCTAACGAGGATGCCTTCATAGGAATCCTCGCACAAGACATTGAAGTGAAACCTTTACTGAGTGGTCGCTTTACAATGATGAGCCTGGGCTGGACCCTGTGTAATTACCTGTACCTAGTGGTCATCCACAAGGTGCTGCCCGACCAACAGGAGAGGATGTTCAACAACACCATCGCAGCCAGGACCAGTCACCTGTGTTCACCAGCTCCTAACGAGCAGAGACTCACCTGGAACTAGCTAGGGCAGACACTGGCATGGTAGGTTAATACAAGACTAAACTCTTACTGGTACTTCCAGAAGGACCATAGGTTTGATTTGCAATCCATCATTTTGTAAGTCAGTGTGTCACTTTATTATATCTCAAATACTCATTTAATGGTACAAATGTATACATGGTATAAATAGACGTAGTAACTTTAGGAATGGCTGAATGTCAAGTACTTCATTTGGGTTAAATGCATGCCTCAACATATAAAGAGTTATAGCCCTTTGTGTCACATCCAGGACATATATATAT